GTTCAGTGGCACAAACAAATAATGGACACTTTAGCAACAGTGGAGAAGTGCTGCAAGGCACCCGAAAAAGCAGAAACTTTCTGGAAAGAGTAAAAAATGTGAAAAGAGATGTTTTAAGACAGTATTTTTCAGACAATACTGAACTAATAAGAAATTGCCTTATAAATGCTAAAGAAAATATATAGATCGGGGAGAATTTCCAGTGGGAACTCATAGTAGTATGCATGCTCCTGAGTGCAAATGTTTAGTATATAGAAATTTAAAAATATCTAGAATAAAAAAAAATAAGATACCATGCCTTTAGCATTAACTGATGCATAGATACCCAGAACTCCTGCAAAACGTAGCGATAAGAACTTTCGTCTATGGAAGGATCAGTGATGTCTGTCTTATTTATCCAAATGGTCCATTACTTCCTAATACTTCTGCACTCTTGTATTTTATACTTTCATCATTTGCCTGCACTATCTGTAATTTTTATAAGCATATACGGTCCAAGACTTATCTGGTAATTATTGTCCACTCTTTTTAATGGCCTGGGTATTAAATAATTAGCTTGTTTATATAGAATAGGGATGTGCAGCACAACTTCTCTTTCCCAATGCACTCATGGGTCCAGTATACTGAGGGTAGTTATGATGGACTGTTGAGTGTTTCTCCAAAGATACTCAGTGCTGGCTGTTGGCCAAGGGAAGATGTGAACACAGGACAAGGTGGTGTAGCCAGGGAAGCAGAAAAAGGTACCATCTCTTTTAATTCTGTGCAGTATAGGCTGGTTTTATATTTCAGAATAGCTCCATAGTATTGTGAGCTTTGCATTTGATTGAGATACTTTGAAAGCTTTTTGTAGCTACTTTATGTGTTGTATTTTATCAATAGTGAACAAAAATAAAAATGGTAATTAAATAATAAGAATCCTGGAATAAAAAAATGGGAAAAATCTTTGAAGTCTATTTTCTGATAGTTTTTTTAGTTAGATTTGTAGTGCAAAAACACAGCTGAGGTTATTTTGCTAGTGCTTGTTTTTATACACGTTTGCATTATGGATGTTTATATGCCTCCAGATGCTGGACACTGGAGGATTTTTTGCTCAGAGATATCTAGAAGCATAAGTACATATTTCATAGCCTTGTCTGTGTGAACATAAATGGGATGTGTATGTGCTACACATTTCTGTTCCTAGTTGTGCAGCTGAGCTGATTTGGAGAATTTACTGATTTCTGCGTGCTATTTTTTTCCTACTTAGCTTCCTCTAGCCCTATTTTACTCTGATTTTATTCTGATTTTTTTCTGGCAGGTTTTTTTTCATCTTTGAACGTACTTTTTGGAAGTCTCTTTAAAGAGACTCTCACAAGCTCCCCTAAGATATTGGCATCTGGCTGCTTCTAGTTGCCATAGTTTGCATTGGGAAGAACAGTTCTTATGAAATAGTAGACTTCAGTTATGCACTGTGAGATTGCCACTTTCTTATTCGTCTGTTTTGGCAAGATCATATCTATGGTAAACACTTAACAGTCATGTCCTCTAAATCCAGCTCTAGAAAGGACATCAGGGCCGTCTAAAGAGTATCCACTTGGCAAGTCTTTGAGCTTTGCTTTCAGCCCATGCAGTCCTGAGAATCTGTGCAGGAAAGTTATTTTAGTCCAACACCTTTCTGGCACTCTACTCTAAAGAAAAAAGCAACAATTCTTTGGATGAAACATTTAGCACTTCTTGTAAAAACACATTGTCAGCTAGACCTCAGGCAAAATGGTGTGGATTTACTCTTTTCCTCATGCTAAGGTCACTCAAAATATATCAACCAATGGTGGGTTTTTTGATTCAGTTGCCTAAATGTAGGATTTCATGCCATTTGAAATGTCTGAGAATATCCCATGTGCCACACTGTAGTCACATATGACAGTTTTTCATGGATGCCCCAGCTGCCCTTGGATATCTCAAAAGTAACTGGATGCCTATATGTGAACACCTAATTCAAATCCAAGGTATCTATATGTACATTCACTATCCATACTTTTATCTGGAGCTAAGGACATGGGCCATGCACTGTTGATTTGTGTGCATATGCGCTGCTACACAATGTGGAGGCAGAGGAGTGTGTGCCTGCTGAGGCATAAGATTTTCCAATCTCTTGTTCTTGGATGTTCTTGAATGCCTGTGCAGTTTTGATCATGTATCTGTCTGATCCATGCATGTTATATGCAATCATAAAATCGTAGAATGTTTTAGGTTGGAAGGGACCTTTAAATATCATTTAGTTCCAAAACCCCCTGCAGTGGGCAAGGACATCTTCCACTACATCAAATTACTCAAAGCCCATTCCAATGATGGGACATCAACAACTTCTCTGGGCAACGTATTCCAGTGTCTTACCACCCTCATTGTAAAAAATTTCTTCCTTATATCTAATCTAAATCTACCCTTTTTCAGTTTAAAATGGTTACTTATTGTCCTGTCACTACAGACCTTGGTAAAAAGCCTTTCTTCATCTTTCTAATAAGCCCTTTTATATATTGAAAAGCCTCAGTAAGGTCTCCCTGGAGCCTCCTCTTCTCCAGGCTGAATAACCCCAACTCTCTCAGCCTTTTTTCATAGGAGAGGCATTCCAGCCCTCTGACCATTTTCGTGGTCTCCTCTGGACCTGCTCTAGCAGGTCCATGTCTTTCTTGTACTGGGGACCCCAGAGCTGGATGCCATACTCCAGGAGGTGTCTCAGAAGAGTGAAGTAGAGGGAGGGAATGACCTCCCTCGACCTGCTGGCCACCCTTCTTTTTATGCAGCCCAGGATACAATTGGCTATCTATCTGGACTGCAAGCATACATTGCTCGCTCATATCTAATTTTTCATTTACCAGTATCCCCAAGTCCTTCAGCACAGGACTGCTCTCAATCCATTCATTGCTCAGTCTGTACTGGTGATTGCCCTGAACCAGGTGCAGGACCTTGCACTTGGCCTTGGTGAACTTCATGAGGTTCACATTGGCCCACTTCTCAAGTCTGTCAAGGTCCCTCTTGATGGCATCCCTTTCCTCAAGTATACCAACTGCAGACTCAGCTTGTGTTATCCACAAACTTGCCGAGGGTGCACTCAATCCCACTGTCTATGTCATTAATGAAGATATTGAACAGTACCAGTCCCAATACAGACCCCTGAGGGACACCACTTGTTTCTGATCTCCCTTTGAATCATAGAATCATTAAGGTTGGAAAAGACCTCTAAGATCATGGAGTTCAACCGTCAACCTAACGGTGACCTTGAGTAAGTATCATCTTCTATAGAAAACAAGAAAATGCTTAGGGTTTCTTTCTTTTCTTCATGCTTTTAGTATATTTTCTAGAAAGAAAGCGTTGTGTTGCTTCAAGTGAATACAGGTCTGTTTTCCACTTCAGCGGTGTTCCAGTCTTCTGCCATGATCTTCATTTGATGGACTTCACTGGGAAGCAAAAGTGATTTACAGACCTACTATTAAGCTATGTGGGGGGACACCATTTCTCTTAAAGCAGCCAGGTGGTGGCTGTACTGTTACAACACTGTGTGGCTACCCCATGAAAACTTAAGCCTCTAAGGGCAAACCTCCAACCTCATAAGCCTTGAAGAGCAGCATGATTCACCTCTCCGTTGGGGAGGTAGGAAAGTCATGATTCTGCCTGAAAGGGTCAGATTAGTGTTATCCTGTTCAGATGTGGGAGAGGTCATTTGAAGATTCCCCTATCAGCTGATGTGGTATTGCCTTGCTAAATTGATGTTTAAGAGACAGTTGAGTTACTTTGAAGCTTATGAATACAGTGTAGGAAAATTATTTTTACATTTTGTGGTGACAACCATAAAGATGGAAATCTGAAAAGGCATTCTGGAGTGCGTGAAGGATTTTGAGCTATTTTCGGTGCATTAGCCTAATACATAAATACACCATTTTTGGCCAGCATTAGACAACCCAGGATGTTCATTCAGTATGAAACATCTTTTCATATTTTGCTTACAGATGTTCAGAACAATTCTGTTTATCTGTATATTCATAAGCTTTTTGAAATCTGCATAGCTCAAGTGGCACTGAAATCAGAAGGGAAAAACTCTGCTGTTGTTATTCATAAACTGGTTATGTACAATTACCATGCAAAATATGCAGCTAATGATGATTTTCTTAAAAACAGGGCAGTTTATAGGCTTATGGTTCAAGCTGTTAACATCTAAGCAGGTAATTTTATTTT